CCAATTAATCAAAACTATGACAAAATTTGAGAAAGAATTAGACATCTGCTATATGTTTTCATAAAAAAAGACAACAGTTAACTCGGTGAAATAAGAAACATCAGCATGCACACATGACAATTTCTGTCCCCTTACACAAACATGATTTGTTAACTATCCCTTTAACTGTCCTCTTACAATGTCCAATTACAAGCATGATGTATACACTGTCCTATGGGAGCTCAAATTGGTTTGGTGATAATCAATCATTTTTGAGAATTTTGTTATATTTTTGATTAGACAAGTAATTAGCTACGCTTATGATAGTAGTAACTCTTTGTTCACTTCCTTTTTTTTTTTTTGCTACAGGATACTGTTCCCCCAACTTAGTGTTCATTTTATTAAGTGACATTTTTGACTGCATCACTCTGGAGAATTGTGATCCTCTTTTCACATTTGTAGAAGAAAAGGTTTCTACTTGGACTATGGTAAGCCAAAACCTTCAAGTTATTGCTCACAAATAGATGAAGAGGAATTAAATGACTGTGCTTTGAATTATATTGATTGTGTAACCAAGAAGAGCAATTATTTTTGCTTCCTTAATCAGCACTGAAGCCTGACTTTATTTATCAGAATCTTGAGAGTAACTAATTTCTGGTTTTTAATTATTGATGGAATATCACCATCATTGTATTATTATGAAAAGCTGAATTCTTTGTGCATTTTTGTGGGTTATTGCTGGGGGGGGAGGGATTTTTTTTTTATCTTGAGGACAGATGCCTAGATAAGGTCAATATTTACAACCATGTTGTTGTGGCTGTCCAGTAGTACTGTAGGTCATAGAAGAGGCAAAAATGTGGTGAGAACCCAAGTGACACTTGGCTGCATCTCTTGTGCCATCTTTTTGTCCTTTCCACCTTATGACATCATCTGTGATCTATTTCTGAACAGACACACAACATGTTGGAATCTTTTTGTAAACTGTACATAGATTCTGCAGGAAAATCATGTGTTCATCTCTTAACTCTACCTGCCTTTCACTTAGCCTCATTTAAGAACTTTATGTAGCTTTAATCTTATTTCGATTTGATTTCAGCCATTATTCTTTTCTGCTGGAAAGAACCTTCTCCTTAGAATGTGTAACGGTGAGGTTTTCAGTCTTAATA